TAACTAATTAATTACTTTTTTAGAGTAACTTACCCAACACTGCATTTACGTTACTGTGGGCAATAAAAAAGCTATCAATCAATGTTATCAATAAAATCAAAAGTAAGCATGACTTGCACTTTCTTTTGTTCTTGACAGCTTTAGAGGAGGAGCTACGCGCTTCGCATGTGCGAAACATTTCAGAAACCAGCATTTCGATATTAAACACCAGAGTGCAGATTCTTTATTTTCGTGACCTAATTCCTTCGCTTAACGGCAGACAGACAATACAAACCTACAATGTCCAAAAAAGTAGCTGTAGTTACAGGGGCAAATAAGGGCATCGGACTGGCAATTGTTAAAGGGCTGTGCAAGGCAGGTTTCAAAGGAGATATTCTCCTCACAGCACGGAATGAGAAACTGGGACAAGAGGCTGTTGCTGGTCTGCAAGCGGAGGGGTGCAAAAACGTATTCTTCCATCAACTTGATATTTGTGACCAAGGAAGCTCTCTAAAACTCAAGAAGTTTCTGGAGGAGAAGTACGGTGGCCTGGATGTTCTTATCAACAACGCGGGAATGGCTTTCAAAAGTTAGTTTGACTGTTCTGTTTTTCAATGCAGACCTGCGTAAATCTTTAAGCCTTAAATGCTCTGTCAAAAAAAGAAGTGTCAAAGAACAAGTAAAACATTCTATAACCTATGTTATATTGTATCAGTGTTGGTTAAGTTACTGTACACTAAAAAGCTACTAATTACATCTGACCTCATCAGTGCAATTAGTATACCAAGTAGACTACTCTAAGTATTGCATTACTTATTAATTACTTTCTAAATACCATATCAACACAATTCCATACTGACCAATACAAGGATAGACATGAAACTGCACTTTTAATTCTTTCAACATAAATAAAATTGGATAAATTTTTCTTGAACTGACCAAAGTATGTAAAGGGAGAAGGTTAAATTAAACATACATTTAAACATCAGACATTACATTTATCTGTTAAATCCACTCTTGTTTTATATATAAATTGTTCTAAACAGTAGCCTGTTGAAATTACATCAGAAGTAATAATTCAATTACAGAAAATTTAAGAGTAATCCCCTAAGGGAAAAGTGAGTAGCCTAATTAGTATTGCATTACAACCAATACTGATTATATTATATTATATTAATTATATTATGATCGCTTCACACAACATTCTGTGCTAAAATCTCACACCATTCTGTTAATTTAGGGCACAATCACACAAAAAATAGTTGCTCACCTCAGTTGGTGGAGCATTTTTCCATCTTCAACTTAAACATTCAAATCACACAAAATGAACAAAAGTGCCTACAACATGAACTTTAAATGCATCCTTATTTGTAATAGAACAGCATGAACACGATACACTAGGCCTATAGTATAACATTCAATATCATATATGCCAATATTTTTTTTTATAACATAATGCATTTACGTTACTGTGGGCAATAAAAAAGCTATCAATCAATGTTATCAATAAAATCAAAAGTAAGCATGACTTGCACTTTCTTTTGTTCTTGACAGCTTTAGAGGACGAGCTACGTGCTTCGCATGTGCAGAACATTTCAGAAACCAGCATTTCGACATTTAACACCAGAGTGCATATTCTTTAATTTCGTGACTTAATTCCTTTGCTTAACGGCAGACAGACAATATATAAACCTACAATGTCCAAAAAAGTGGCTGTAGTTACAGGGGCAAATAAGGGCATCGGACTGGCAATTGTTAAAGGGCTGTGCAAGGCAGGTTTCAAATGAGATATTCTCCTCACAGCACGGAATGAGAAACTGGAACAAGAGGTTTTAAGTTTTTTTTTTTTTTTGTGTGTGTTGCATTCCACAGTGCCACTTTTTAGTATATTTTGTATGTAAACATGCTTTTCAAAATGTAAAAAAAAAAATGCATCTCTAGACCCTTGCTTTTTTTCATCTGACAGTTTTTGGTTTGTTTGTTGTTGCAAAAACACTTTCTGGATCCATTTACATCCATTTGAAATTCCCTTCTTTTATCTAGATTCAGCAACAGAGCCATTTGGAGAACAGGCTGAAGTGACCATGCGCACCAACTTCTGGGGAACACTGTGGGTGTGTCATGCTCTTCTGCCGATACTTCGACCCAATGCTCGTGTGGCCAATGTGTCCAGCTTTGTTAGCAAGAAATCCCTTGACCAGTGCAGTTCTGAACTACAGGCAAAGTGTGTGAATCAATTTTTATAATAAGTGATAAGGTAAAGGAAACAGCAAATCAAGTATTTTTTGTTTTATGTTTACCTTTGGACAGATTCAGAAATAAAGATTTGTCCGAGGAGGAGTGTTGCCTGCTGATGGGAGAGTTTGTTCATGCTGCACAGACAGGGGATCATAAGGCTCAGGGCTGGCCAAACACTGCCTATGGTACCACCAAGGTAACAAACATCCCTATCTGTCCCTGGCTGCATCCGAAATTGAAAAAAAGCCTGCATACATAAGTAGAAAGAGGACAAGGCATGTCCGAATCCAATGATCATGTTATGATCCTGTCTACTGAGATACATTCATCTGATTAATTTCCTTTGCTGCCTATGATATCCCACAACCCTGTGGGATATCATAGTGAATATATATATATATATATATATATATATATATATACACTTAGTTAACCAAAGCTCCCTTTATTTTGTTGTAGATCATAAACCATTATGCTGTCTTAGAATTCAGTCCAAAATCAGTTTTGTGTGGTCCCTTCATGCGCAAATGCAGCCTGCAAAGTCATTTGCTGATATGGCAGTGCCAGCAAGGCAACAATTCAGCTGCCTAAGCTTTCGGATGCAGCCCCTAACATACCCAAAAGCCTGATTTGCTAGGTTGTGTGTATTAACAATAAGCAGCCCCAGACAAAAAAATCTTTCAGAAAAGGAATTGTTTTTGCTTTCTATCTCTTTTTTAGATTGGTGTGACTGTGCTATCAAAGATCCAAGCTCGAGTTCTCAGCGAGACGAGGCCAGGTGATGGTATCCTCCTGAATGCTTGCTGTCCAGGATGGGTGCGGACTGACATGGCTGGACCAAATGCTACCAAGAGTCCAGAGGAAGGAGCAGAAACTCCTGTGTATCTGGCCATGCTGCCTGAAGGAGCCAAAGAGCCGCATGGACAGCTAGTGTGGGACAAGACTGTACAGGAATGGTAGAGTGAAGAAAGCGTCATCAGTTAATTCCATCTAAAAAATAATGTCATGATTACATCTGACTTTTCCAAAATATACTGACATGTTGACATTATGAGAGGCATTCTGTAAAATGCTACAACTACTACTACTGTACATGAAATTTCATTTTAGAAAGCTCTGACATGTAGTTGGCAGTTTTCTTGAAAGTAAATTGTATGGTTTATGAGTTCTCCATATCAGATGTCCGGTATATTTTAGGTTTATTGGGTCATTTTGTTTATCTCTCTAAGATAAATAGAAGATAAACAGATTTTGTCCTCATATCATTCTTCCACAGAGCAGATTTTACCATCTGCACATACTGAAATCTCTGTATACGTTCCAATTTAATGAAGCTAAATGTATATTTAGTTTGCCAAAGTATTTGTCAACTTCTTGTAACAATTAAAATGATTGGTTGTCAGCTTGACTGCATTCGTATCCTTCATGCACAAAGGTTACATGCACTGATGATGTCATGTGCTGGTTTTAGGATACTTGAAGCATTCTTTAGAGAAATATTAACTGTATTATACAAGACTGACTTTTGTGTCCTGCAATTCATATACAGTCATACCCTCCTTATCACTCACTTAAATGAAGTAGAACAACCCTGATATTATGCAAACTTTTAATGGCTCGGACTCTGCTTTTGAGAAAACAAAGCCATCGTAAAACAATCCAACTTATAAACTGGTAATATTTGGCAATATCTTAGCTTATTGTCTAAGAGAGAGCTGTTATCATTGGAGAGGATTAAATATATCTCTGCCAGCTTTGTTAGCGGATTAAAAGTGATAAAACACGGTAATTAACTTCCCACAGTTTAAATAAACAGGAAACCATCTTGTTTGGATCGTGATTACAATATTACAACAAATTCAAGAATGTCTTATTTCATTAATTACTTTTAGCTTTAAATAAATAGATAAATGTTTCCTTATGTATTTACTTTGTCACACCCTGTAACTGGGTAGCAGGCTAGACAAGCACTTATAAAACATTTCTGGATCGTTGAGAAAGTATAGTAGATGTATGTGTAACCAGTAGAGGACGCCAAAGACTTATATTTTGTAAATTAATTAACGTAAGAGCTGGAAAAGCCTCCAACACAATTCCTTGCCAGCCGAATAATTATACAGAAAACTAACATAGCCAAAATACCTTTCATCAACAAAAATCGAATCACTTTAGATGGCTTTTCCAAAATATATGAGTATGCATTTTCTATTAATTTGTCAAAAAGTGCAAGTTACATTAATTTATCTTCACCCCAGCTGTGTCACTAGATGGCAGCATAGGACACAAATCTAAAGAATGTATTGCTCTATTTGTTCTAGTCCTAACAAATTGACTCATTTAATGCCTATCTTCTGTTGTATTCACATGGTTTTATATTTATATTAATTTGAATTAACGTACCAGTTAACGTACGTATTTAGCTTTTTTTTTTAATTAATTCTGTTTTTTATTTATTTATTATTTACACATTCCGTTGTTACTGTAATCAGGAGCATGTTAGCAGAGAAAGTCTATCTTAGTGAGCTTTTGATGCCATATATATATAAACCTCTAAACTTCTAACCGCTGTAGTTTGCCTTTTTTGTCAAATAGTTTTGTCAGAAAAAAAAGCTTAACCAAGTTTAGTGTGTTGTTCTGCTCTTATATTTAAAATATTTTAAAACAATAAAAAAAATCATTCTCATATTTTTATGATTTAATCAAATTTGCATGGTCATTAAAAGAAAATTCCCTCCACACATCACTTTTGGCCACTAATGTACAGTTTATTTTTTCACTTTACAAACAAGATAATTAATTGTAGTCAACTGTTATTCTATTATATTTTTAGTAAAGATCATTGAATAAAATGCTGCGTACAAACATGCCAGCATTTTATATACGGCATATAAACATACCACTTTTAATTCCCTTCCTTTATAAAATCAAACAACAAAAGCCTTGCCAGCTCTGAAGCCACAACAAAATAGCTGGCAGGAAATTGCCTTTCCTGAACACCTGTAACAAATGTGGAGACGGGGAAAAACAGCATACATTAAAAAACATTGAAGGGTGATCACAATTATAAAGCAATAAAGTTACACCAAGGGCCCTGGCTCTAAAAAAGAATAATTTTGCTACATTTTAGCAACATTGCTTAGTTTATGTGCTAATGATATTAAAGCAGTGTTTTAAAAGGATTCATTAAAAAACTAAAATAAGTTATAAAAATAATTTGCAAGCACTTATTTAAAAACAAAGATGTTTTGTTTTTTTCGCCATCAACAGCATAACTATAGGCATAAATGAAGTCCAGGCATGAGAACAACGAGTTAAAGCAATGCTTATTGTTGACCTGGAAGAACAGAATCTTCTGAAAACAGAGCTGAGAGAAATATCATTTATTCATTATTCAGTCTGTACAGTAAACACGTGTCCAACAGTTTTCATCTGATTTTTTTTATTCAGATGTTTCAGAAAAAAAGACAGGTGGTTTAATGTTAAATAAAACAATTTAAAACCTACACCTAAACTGTGGTGAAAATGTTCATTCACAAGGCATCTTTAGGCATCTATATCAAACAATGAATATGTCCACTTCTGAATGTTATTCAAAACATAAATGTACAGTACAAAACAAAACAAGCAATACTACAATGGCATGTGATACAGTGGAGACAAGAAAAACATAACAAGTTGATAAAAAAAAAAAGATCAGGAATAAAATAGTTCCCCTCAGAAAATACTGGGCCTCAAGATCAGGACCGAACGGAAACGACACTTTCAGCAACACTTGCAAGTCTTCACAATCATATTTGACAGCTGTTCTACCTGAGAAAAGTTACATTGAGCATTAGATTACGTTTCAGTTAAGCACTGATGAAAGTGATAAAAATCAATTCTGACCTTATGTAGTCGCCCCACATAGTAAAGGATGGTCAGCGGCTCTAGAACCTGAGGAACGCAGCAGGGTTGAGCAGATGCACCAGGATTATGATGCCTATACAGTGCAAGAACCTGTAGGCAAACAAAATCAGACCATATCAGACACATCACTTCTAAACGCTCCAGTTATGACACATAGTCCTGACTGTTACCTGTGAGTATTTGTTTTCTGAAGTCCAGACGTAAGAGCAAGAGCCAGTGCAATAGTTGGCATTGTAACCAGAAGGTTCATGTATCCACTTCCAGCCCAGGTCTTTGCGGAAGTCTATGTACAGGCTCCTCACACAGCAGCCCTCAGACTTTCTGCATTGAGTGTGAAGGTGACACACTGTGAGGCTTTTGATATAATACATACACATTATAAATAAAAGGAATGTCAGTTATCTTTCATGCTGAATCATAAAAGGCTCACTCTGTACAAACTGCATCAGTTTGCCGTTTTTGGCGAGATTTTGCTGAGCTGTGGCCGTCAGCTGGAAGAGACATTACCAAGATGTGGGGCTTTGGCTCTTGTTCTGCTAAGGGGCCTTTGTCACCTCTTGGTGATGAAGATAAACCTGCATACACAAATAGCAATATTAGCTTGTCCTTTCAATTTTAAGACATACAGGATTTGAATTTTAACTCACAAACCTGCTATTTTGAAATCAAGATCCTCAGATTTACAATTACAGGGCGCCTTCAACTGAAAGCCTTGCTCCGCCTCTATGAATCACATTAGAGTTTCATTTGTCATGCATACATTTCATTTAATGTCAAACACTTCTTTACAAACCAACAGTGTCTGTGTATTCAGTAATATAAAAAAAAACATTGTCAACATCAAACTTAAAGTGATTAAGTCAAAATTAAACATGATTTAATGACTCGTGAATGTAAGTTTTACCTTTCACTAAACATATTTAGATATACAGGAAGTCGCAATGGAAGTCGATTCAGATATATCTAAATATGTTTAGTGAAAGGTAAAACTTCCGAAATTTCCGTGTAAACAATGCGTGACATAGACGCGCGAGAGATCACTTCTGGCGTAACGTCTGGGGACGGTCATGGTTCAGTTCGGTTCAGTTGGACATCAGATTTAGATCAGTTCGACGGCTGTTAACAAGAGGTAAAAACTATATAAATACTGTTCGTTTTCTCACACAAACCGCTCGTTTCGTGTCTTAGGCCATCAGTGTGTACTTACATTCACAAGTCATTAAATCATGTTTAATTTTGACTTCTCTGTGCATGCTCTTTGAGGTGGACCCCCTAAAACTGCATTATAGGACTGACAGACAACAACGGTTTGACCTAAAAATGTCAAAATTGAAAATGCTGTGGAAACAAAGACACCTACATCTTGGATGCCCTTGAGGTAAGCTAAAACCTATCAAAAATTAATTTCAAAGTGAACTATCCCTTTAAATAAAAAAATGAACTACAAAGGTGCTAATTTCAGTACTAATTATGTACTAATAGAATATATATTACAAATTTGGATTAGCTTTTATTTTTATATAAAAAGCTTCCAATTTTATTTTATTTTTAGTTTCAGTAATTTTGTAATGTGCTTTTGTCATTTTTATAAATTTGTGTTTTATATAGTATATTTCTATTTCACTTTAATTTGTTTTTAAGTTGTTTTGTTTATTTGTATCTGCCAAGGCAACACTTCTAATATTTATTTTATATAAAGTAAATATTACGTTTTTCCATCTAATATATATATATATATATTTCAGCTTTATTTCAATTACTAATAATTTGTAAATTTTAGTTTTAGTTTAGTACCATGAATCACTTATTTCAAATAAATAAATAAATAAATAAGTGTTTACATATCTTAAAGGGACACTCCACCCATTTTCTTTAAGCTTTTCATTGTTAGAAACCAAGTTATACTATTGAATGGTTGTGCAACACTCTCTCATTTTCTGCTGAGACGAGAGAAATCTGCTATTTACCTTTTTCACTTCGTCCTACAATGACGCAAAAATCGTCATTTTACGTCATTGTTGGAGGAAGTGTAAGAGAGGGGGATTTCTGTAAAGACTACAAGCACTAGATCCCACCCTTTCAAACCCGCCCATAGGGGGTTGGACCTAATGCGCAAACAGACCAATCACAGATCAGCGCCAGTGCGTCTGATTTCACCGGCAGAAACTTTTTGAAAATATGGACGAAGGTACTGAATACGCAGACGGATGCATTATGGAGGATTGGGTTTAAACATAGTGTCAGCCATCTTTTTTTGGAAGCTAGCAGGCTCTTGCTCTGCGGAGAAAGCCGAGTAGTAACTTCAGGGGTTACAGTCCTCTTTTTCCCGGACATGTCCAGCCGTCGATGTCCGGGATTCAGCTTTTGCTTTCTGCAGTCGCCATGCACTGTTTACATGCACAGCTTTTGTTTCAATCTAACTGAATTCATTCTGATTGGTGAAATTGAATGTAGTGTTTACATGAACGCTAAAAAAGTGATCGGTTGATGTGCGTTTTCACATTGCTAAGAAAATTTCCGCTCCTCCGTGAGAGATACGAGACCGGTGCATCTCACAGGTATCTCTCATCGGTAATCACGCCACCGGCCTCACGCCGTTCTCCACACGGCCCTCACTCGTCCTGCACGCAACCGTAAACATGATGAATGACGACTGTAGAACGCAAAAGTCGAATCCCGGACATTTTCGAGTGATGACACGGAGAGTCATTAGTAGCCTAGACTTGTTGTTTAAGTGCATTCTGGGAGTTGTTGTCTTTCATCCATATAAGCCAAAAATACATTTTCTGTCTTTTCTCTGTCTAGAAAGCTCCAAATTCAAAAATAATTTAGTTAGTTTAGTTAATTTTAAGATGTTAGATAATAGTTTCTGCCAAACACATGACATTTATACTTTAGCTCTAAAATACAGCAAAGTGTAGCTTGTGGCAGGGAGCACTGTTTCTCACCCGTCTTCTGCAGCCAGTCCTGTAAGGTCGACGTCACATCAAATGACACCCACTTGCCAGCCATTTGATTGGTAATGAAGCGTGAATTCAGGTAGCGAGCCTTTTCCATAGTGTCCTGGTACAGCTCTACCCTCTGCTCTGAATTACGTATGGTAGGCTCCTTGATGCGCAAACGGAGCTCCGCCTGGGAGAGCATGGAGTTCGAACCCAATTTGTGCTTTATATCGGTGATGTTGAACCATATCAACCTGTCTGGGTTTTCCCTCACTGGGGATTAGACAGACAGCAAAACTGATTGGAAATATGTCTAGAAATAAGCATATGTTTTATATTTTACAAGACATTGTATGAATGGAGTGCCAAAAGAAAAGTAGAGAACAAAGGATGTGTTTTATGAGAATGACAACTCCATATGTACCAATACAATAGCCTTCCTGTACAACTGATATATTGGTACTTTACAAATCAAAGGGTTACTGTACTTTACAATCAAAGGGTTATACTTCAATGATGACTCAAATTAATCATAATCATCTGAATAAACTCATACAAATACAATATATAGAATAATAGATCAAGGGATTTTGGAGCTGAGTGTTACTTTTATTTTTTAATCTAAAAATAAAATGAAACATATCACTGACAACAAATAAATAAATATATATAATGTTTGTGTATAGCATGGGAAACCTCAAAACGAGTGACTGTTATCATTGTCTATGCAACCAACAGTCAACACTAAAACATCCCCAAACCAGTGTCGTCTTATAGTTGTCCAAATATGGATTTAAGAGACAATAATAGATAAAGGGATGATTGGATCTGAGTGATACTGTAGTTTACCAAGAAACATTAAATCCAGGATCTGAGTCACTTCATTAGCATTCTCTTAGCAGCCCTCCTTCCTGTTTGTGGTCAGATCATTTGCACACACCCTTAGCTCTCTGAGGAAATTGGCAGGCACATAGCATCTTAGGCTAAGAAAGGAAATGTAATAATCATTCAATAATCAACAGGCTAGAAAATAGACAAAGGACAGACCCACTCACTCGGTTTCATTGTGAACTTGTGAACCTCTTTAGCATAGTATCCCTTCTCATTAGGATCTTCTACATTCTGCTGTACAGGATTTGCCGCCTGCTCCTGGCTTAGCTCGACAGTGCTGTTATACACTGAGATCAGTTCTACTGGGATGTTTTCTAAATCCTTTTCCTCATCTACTTCTGGTTCCTTAGGCAGTCGTAGCTTGCTCAGTATTTGTCCTCTAATGGCTTCAATGCGCTTTCTCTTTATCAGTTCCAGGTCTAAAGGATTGCATGTTGACAATGCTTCGGTATAGTGCACAAATCCCAATAGGCATTGCAATACTAGAAATAAGCTCTCCGCTCTCATGGTCAGCGTTGCTGGAATTTATCTTCAGTCTATGAGTGTGGCAATGGATGGTTACAGGATGGTAAAAGGGTCTCGAGCACTTCTAGATATAATGCTGTCGTCACTTTAATCAAAGTTTACAATGAGCTGGTTCACAGCATGAGCTGGTGTTGTCTTCTTCACTTCAAACCCAACGGCCTGAATCAGAAACCAAACATTACTGAGATGTGGATGCTGGCACAACACACAATGGATCTGGAAAAAACAAAACAAAAAAAACTCACCAACGAAGTCAGAGGTCCTATGAACATACGCAATAGATGTCCTCACAAGGCAACATGCCTAATTTACAATACATAGTTTCCACACGATAACCTCAACGGTTTCTTGTGTCCCACTCAACAGAAAAAAACAAATACACGTATTTGAGCTTCAAAGTAATATCAGTTATTTTCACGTGCCATCCTCTTGTTCTGAACAGTTTGCTCTCAACTCAAGGAATGACAAAAGAGGAAAAGGAAGCAGCACAGTTTAACCAAATGACACAACACTTCCTTTTCAGCACAGTAGTTTCCCCTGAAGATTTACCCCGCACTGTGTAAAATATGTGAGGCAAAGTGTTTAGTTCAACTCATTATGGCATTCACATGCCTGAATCAGCTGGCTATTTCTATACACTCAACATAGAGTTAAACATTTAGAATGAAACAAGATGTTATGAAATCTTTCCTATAATTAAACAAGAATTCAGAAAACAATCCTTAACAACCTGTTCACATCAAAAACAAGAACTATAAAATACCTACAACAGTAACTATAATCATCAACACCAAAGCACGGTAACTTTATATTTATTAAGTGTGCAGTGCAGTTATGAAGTCTGCCAATTTATATTCGAGTTTTTAAAAGTAGGGTGGATTCTGATTAAAAGTCAAATTACTGAAAGTAACTTCTGATGGTCATTCCAATGATATAATTTCCTACCTTATGTAGCCCCGCCTCTTTTCAGCGTTGGGCAGGCTCGTCATTTGACTTCCGGTCTGTATTCACAGCGATCTTGAATAAACTGCTCGTAAAAAAATTCCCGGTCGAGATTTGTTAAGACATCTGCTTTACAATGCTCATGATAAATTTTGTTAACTCTACAATAAGTAAATCCACTTCACCAGCTAATTACTCCTCGACAGCGATGCCATATAACGTTATACAGAGCGACCGCAAAAACGGAAGTTCAAAGACAATATTAAAGATGACGGCGCGCACGTTTCTCTGGTGCATAAGGTCTATAGACTTCAATATTCTAACGATAACTATAAAAATAATGATCCTCTTAGCGTCCACACCAATGTATTAAAACTTTGTTTATAATTGCATGCTGCGTCTGCTGTGCTAAATGCTGATGTTCCCCAAAAATCTGGGATTCTGATAGGTGGTCAATCAATGTTTGTAGAGAGAACTTTCATATTTTCAGAGAATTAGAATGATTATTATTTTTTTAATTTACATTTGCGAGAACAGGATATAATAGTCAGGTTGGACATCACACAAAAAAGCAAATCAGTCAGCCATTTATTACGTGAGCAAACTTGTTATCCTAATGGGGGTAACCAGTATAAAGTGAGTAGAGTTTACCTGGTCAGGTGATCTCAAAATGGCGGCCCTCTCCATTGCAAAATTAGAGAACAAATATTACGTAATTTAACACAATTTGGCCAAACAAAGCTGCTCACCAGTGCAAACGCTCTGTAAAACTTCACGCTGAACTGCAATTGGTCCATGACAATTACATAAAAGGTAGCTGTGCTCTGGGGCTCTACCTTCTTTCATGTGGAAATTCCAGTTGACAGTTATCGTGGCCTTTAGGCTACCGATAGCTTATCTCAAGTGTGAGCTGGGTATGTTAAGGGAACAGTTAAACACAGAAAGTATGCTAGCACAGCAGTTTATCTGTTGAAATATCTTCCACAGCTTGTGTTTACAGAATGCAGACGCAATTCCCACAGAGGGTATCCTACTTTCAAACATGAGAACTCTTCGAAGAAAGCAGACAGATTTTAACAGCGAATTAGCAGAGCCGCCAAATGATGACAACTTTACACCAACCCCTCCCCCAGCTCTCGTTTTGTCTAAATAAAGAAACAGATCTTTGAGAGGAACTGATGCATTAAAAATACTTCTAACAGCCAGTGTTTCCATTTCTGAAACAGGATGGTGTCAACCGTTTTTGAAACACAGTATCACAAAAATTAGCTGTGATCTAACTTGCTCTTTTGTCTTTTTTAGTCTCACTAAAACATTTAGAAACTACACACAGGAAATGAGCAAAATGTGTCTCTCACTATCTACAAAACACAGAGCCTGCTACAAAAAGCCTGTTCCATAAAGATAAAAACAAACTGGAACTATGTACTCAAACAAATGAACGTCGTTTTTTTTTTCTTTGAAAGGTTTTTCCCATCATGAATTGATGATGAACGATTTAAAAATGTTTGATTCAGATATGATTCACCTTTGAAAACTGCCAAATTTAATTGCATCAAAACAAAATACAATTCTATAAAACATACAAAGTGTACAAAAAAATGTAGAAAAACGTCATTAAAAAGGTATTGTTTGAGATCCAAAGCACAAAAACACATTATCAATCTGCACACGCAAATCCATCCTAGCTATTACACTCAACTCATTGTATTACATACTTAACTATTCACACATTACATTGTTAAAAACTCCTGTCCAATATAACAAAATATTTTACCTTCTATTCACTCCTCATATCCTGATCTGGAATGTGTGTCAGTCCACAATCCATTCTCAGCTCTCCACACCATATCTGTCAAAGTGGCGTAGAATAACGCACAGCTCAAGTTCAACTGTGCCCATGCCAACTGTGTGGAGTCTGTATCGGTCTGCGCCACTGTAAATGAGATCTGGCGAGCGCAGTTGTGGTCCTCCTCCGACAAACATCTCGGCAAGTTGATCCTGCCAGGATCCAAGCGGTCGCCATGTAGCGCATTGCAAGCGATGCTGTCCTGGGCTTGATGGTACGTGGATATAACCATAACCATACAGCTGGCATCGCCCAAAAGAGTCCTGATGCCACACTTGGAGGTGAAGCTTTGGCCATCCTAGAAGTAGAAAACACATCCTATATATCAAATCATGTTTAAGTGGCACTAAAACATGATACAAATTAAAGGTCGATTAATCGGCACCGATAGCCGATTGCTGGAACAAACAGTGGAGTGGCTGAGAAGGGTGCGCTGCCATTATACAGTACGAGAGCGGCCTCTAGAGGTGGAATACCTGACACTTCGTGCTGTTTGTTTTGACACCTGAGACAGACGTGGATTTAAAACATTGACAATGAAATGGCGTACACAGTAAACTATAGCACATGCTTTCATATCATTATAAAGAAATTAATTTGTTGACTATAAGCTGCATTAGTGGAGAACAGCAGTATGTTTGCCGTTGAGATTTCAGAGGAAGCTAACATTAGTACATCAAGCAGTTAAAATAATGTGACAAAAACACACGACGACCCAAATGTTTGATGTCATGATAGTTACCATCTATTTGCCTTGGTTTATGACCAGCTGTTCACTTTTATGCATTCATTAGCCAGAGAATTTTGCATATTTAATGCTAGTGACGTGAAAAAGCAAATTGATATGTTCATGCAGCCGACAGAAACATAAACAAATCAGAAACGCCGAACTTCAAACTCATCTATGCCACTTTTTCAATTCTTGAAGTGAATTTTTGCATGTTTGGTTGCATTACATTGTTTTGGACCGCAGCTTGAATTGAACGAGACGTATCCGGAGTGCGATATCTGTGAGTTGTCCTAGCCGCTACACTTCTCTCGTCCAAATAAAGTGTGAGAGTATACATACGTGTGTGTAATTTCAATCCTATGGCCTATGTTAGAGTGTTAATTTCAACTTTTTTTTTTCAAAATTTTAAAGTCTGTTAAACATTCATGCACCTGTTACACATTAGTTAACACACATTGAAATAATATTAATTATCAATGGATAATTAATGTATATTAAATGTATTTAAAAACTATCAGTTGATTAATCGGTTATCGGCCAGTGCAGTCCAACCTAGTTATTGGTATCTGTAAAATCTACTATAGGTCGACCTCTAATGCAAATACCTTGTAGGCCCTTAGTAGTGTAGTGCAAATCAATGGGATGGCTCCAGTATGCCATGTCCCCTGTTTGAGGCATGTCCACTTGAGTTTGACCTTCCTTCAGACCAGCAAGAAGCCTCCATGCTCCTCCTGAATGGCACACAGTAAAAAAGTTTTTGTAATTTATATTTTATATAAATATTTAGAAACAATATATATTTTGGCACATCAAATAAGCATTAAAACAATCTTTACACCTTTAAAAACATTAAGGAAAACACACTACTGGTCTCTATAGAGATCAGTGTTTTTTGGTACAGCTAGTGTATACCGTTACTTTAAAACAGTATAAAATAGTAAACAATAAAACAAAAAAGACACCTGTGTGTACACCCCATTTGCAGAAGAGGCTGTTCTGTGGGAAACCCTTGGCCCCAATGATCTGCCCAATGATATGCAATTCTGCCATAAGAGTCCTGAAATTACATTATGCAGTATGTTGGTTATCACATGCATCTGTTCAAATTATCATATAACCAATTTAATACGCTGCATTGGCCTATTCCACTGCTATATTTGTTTTTAAATGTATATATTTTCTGTTTAATTATTATTATTTTGCTCCAACATGATTCTCTATTTCTGTTTGTGCTGACAGTCTATATTAATCTCGGCTATAAATAAATACACTTTTAGACCGTAACAAGTTGTTTAGGTGCACCAAAAAAATTATATAACAAGTTTTCGTTTTTAGTTTTGCAACAGATATATATCCATCTTGTTACTAGTGTAGCTGAACAGCTAACGTAAGCTAACTAGAGACCTGACTCTACACTCATTTCCCGGTTCCACAGCGCCATAAAATCAGCAGAATAGTTATAATTAGCACGCGTACCACAATTTACACGATCACCCAGATCATTCATTGATCAGCAAAGCTGGTAAGATTGTAAAACTAGCAATTAACATGAATCCAGTAAGCGTTTGTTCACTGTTTACAGCGCATTCAGGCTTGATTTCCTTAGCAACCAGAGACAGCAACCGACTTCCTCATGTTCTGTGTTTTGATTTGTCAAGGTTAGTTACTGCCATCTTGCGGCTTGCATGAGCTTGCGTTACATTGCAAACAAAGAGGAGAGTAGTATAATGTTGAAAGAGCAGGAGGAGAGACTGGATTGTCACCGTTGCACTTCAATGACCGATGTGTAATTCTCTTTCTAAAACACCAGTATGTCCTAATAGATCGTATATAGCTTTCAAAAACTGAAACATCGCTCCTTCCCTTATCAAAAAATAATTCGTAAGGCTATTTTTCCTCTAGCCAGTGTTGGTTTGTTTGTTTTTTGTTGCTACAGTATATGTCACATTAAAACAGTATTAATTTTTACCATGTCTTCATCGGTTGCATTTGCTACTTGTCAAATTGCCTTCCCGAGTGTTAGTATGATAATCCAACACTATCTCACGACCAATTAGGGTTGGATAATTTAAGCATAATAGTGACAAACAATTTTTGAAAGCATAAATCATTTTTATAAATTGTCTGAAAATTATTCAATGGTGTGTGTAATAGGATACATAAAATATGAAAGCTCCACTGAAGTTCTATTCAATAATTTCAAGAACTTGATTTGCTAGTGTAGCCTACTATTTGTCTAAATTAAAATAGGCCTAAATTTAAAAAATAATGCATTCTATATACATGTAGTAGCTCACTGATTCTTGAGACAAGGGACAAAAGTAGGCTACTTTTGAAAAGTGACAAACAAAAAAATCGATACTACATTAATTTAAATTGGACTTCATAAACACGGGTTTCATCTACCATGAAAAGAAACAGTTTTTTTTTATTTAACTACGTTTTATAGAAATTGACATGTAGTAATTGACATTTGTCAACTCCATCTGACACATGAAAATATGTTTGTTTTGTGTGTGTGTGTGTGTGTGTGTGTGTGTGTGTGTGTTTGATCTCAACAACACTGTCTTTAAGTGTGCCTTAGCAAGGTCAAGTGATAAATTGCATTGTATAGACTTTTAATATTATTTTACATTGTTCTGGAATTAGCCATTTTAAATTACCTTCATTTAGTTTAATTTTTAAATTTGTAATACTAAAATAATTTAATACTTTTAAATATTTTTTAGTGGTTTCGCACACAAGACACTGATGAATGTAGATAAGTTGTTGTTTGAAACATGAAGATTTTAACATTGAAACATGAAGACAAAAATTTTAATTTAGGCCTAACTATTTTCCCCCTATATTAGCTAAATCTTACAGATGCTAACTGTCATGAAACTGCACAGGGAACATGGACAGAGGTGATCCAAACGCAGGCTTTATTAAAGAGGAGAATCCAGAGACAGGTACAAGGAAACAGGCAGGGGTCAAAACCAGGTAAGCAGTCCAGATCAGCAATCAAACAATTCAGGGATTAGGCAAACGGGAAGACCAGATACAGGCAGAGAGTCCAGGAACCGTGAGGAAATACTAAGGAAACTACGAAATACTAGAAAAACACTCGAAGCAGTCAGACACACACAATACTGAGCCCCGAACAAAGGGGAAACTCGGGCTTAAGACAGGTGAACTAAACAAGATAATAAAACACAGGTGCAAGAAATAAACCATAATCAGTCCAGGGTAAAACATGAATTAAACAATAAACTAGGAAGGAGTGCCCCCCCAGAGGCTCAAGCGGGCACTCCAGCCGCAGATCGTCACACTAACATCTTCAATGGTGTTCAACACACATATACCTTTGTTAAAATCTCAGAAAATTGGGTTTAGGGTTTCACCTTTTAAACTTTAATTTTGTATTTGTTTGTTTATTATCAAACTTGTTAAACGTTCGTTGGTTCCCTCCTCCTTTTCCCATAACAACTGAACCCGTTACAAATGTACTAGCAAACCATTAGGCCTTCATATCGCTTGAATTATTACTTATTACATAGGCCTACTGTTACGTTAGTTACCGTTATATTATCTTAGTTAGCTATTCATAACTTATAGAAAGGGTTTAACGTGATAAAGTTACATTACATGTATTGCAAAACACGTAACGATTTGAAATCAAAATTTGTAGTCAAAGTATGGGCAGGCCTTAGTCAATTTAAAGCATATTATTGATGTTTAAGTCAACAATTTTTGTTTTCCCTATAAGTGAATGTGTCGTAACTGTTTTTACATTTTAATGGAGGACATGTTGAATCTATGAAGCTATAGCTATATTCGTATGCTATGTTCTTTGTTCGTTTATTTTAGCATAATAATTTTTTTTATCATGAATAAGACTGAAGGATTTGAGTCTTTTAACCATGATAGATCATATTTATGTTTATGGAAACTTTGTAATTTTAATAGGCTATTCTTTGACAAATGGAGAGTAAGTTTCATCAGCATGCCTGTCACTACATGACAACTTCTTAGAATATCCCCTGAAGATTTTGTGTTTATTTTATTCTTTAATGTTAACATAGCACACTCGATAATAAAGGCACACATAGAGGACAGCATGTGCCAAACATCAGGTTTTCTTCTCCCTGTGGCCCACAGTAACCACCTCAGGTAGTAATCAACACCACATTTCATACCCCCAGAGACCTCTTTGTACAAACACACAGACATATACTAAATATTTAATGCGATTAGTAATGGAAACACAAGGGACTGTGTGCAAGTAGTAGATTCTGATGTAACCCTCAAGATTGACATCATTTCATTATGAGGGTTCAGATAAACACAGTAAGTGCATATTTTAATGCACATAAAATAAATAAATAAAAGACATAATTGAAGAGTTCAGATGGAAAAGCCTCTAAGTGCCATTTGAAATTTTCTTCTAATGATCATTTTTATCAAGCTTGTATATTTAAGTTCAGCAATTTCACTTAAATGGCAATGATAATTACCTATTAATTGTTATTTAAGTGAAATTACTGAACTTAAATATACAAGTTTGATAAAAATCATCATTAAAGAAGAAAATTTCAAATGGCACTTATAGAGGCCTTTGCATCTGAACTCTTCAATTATTTTTTCTTTCACACAGCATTTGGGACAACACTTTTCTACTCCTAATTATAATATATTAATTAGAGATTATTTTTATATGAAAGTAAAGAAGTAGCACAAAACTATATTATTTTATATTGTCTTGTAACTTTATATATGCTGTGAATCTAAAAAAAAAAATACAAAATATTCAGCCGAGCAACAAAACTAGCACTGCAACAATTTTACATAATATTAGTACTTTAGTCCTCCGAAGTTATTTTCACTAGATGGTAAATTAATGTGTGTTCACGCCATGTTGAAATTACCATACATTTGCACTAAGTGAAATATACTATTTGGCAATAGATGCTGTTTAGGAACAAATAGCGATTGCTGCTATCTACATTAAGTGCAAATAGCAATAGATTCTATTTTCACAATGTTAAAACACCAGCATTTTCTTAGCGATATGCTATATTTACACTTCTCACAGTGCTTTCATGCAGAATTTGCAGTCAAATAATCACTCATTTGTCAAAAATTTGGGGGCTATTATTGATTGTGATAAATTTTGTAGTTACTTCCAGCTTTTTTCAACTAAAGCGTCTTTGTAAGTTAAAACACCTTCTGACTTTTAACGATTTGGATGCTGTAATGCATGCTTTTATTTCCACAAGACCTGATTACTGTAATGTCCTGTATGCTGGAATTAGTCAGTCATCACTTTCACGATTACAGATTGTCCAAAATGCTGCTGCACGATTCTTGACGGGGACAAGAGGGAACATTTTTCACCTCTCCAGGCCTCTCTCCATTGGCTTCCTATGTAACAAAGAGTTTATTTTAAATGTAAAGCTCACGGATGGCCCCTATTTAACCACACACAATTTAGTGAAGCTGTTTGCGAATGTTCATTAGAATTATGGTTTCGGGAAACACAGACTTGTTGGACTATGCTGATAATAACAATGGGAACTTGCGACCACAATTGGCTCATGCTTTGGGAAACGCACCCCTGATCTGCCATTCACCACTATAAACGTAGTCTACTTCGCATGGACAATATCTAATCGCTGAATCCCTTGATTGACCAAGTAGAGCTGTGTAGTAACAAATAATGATTTAAACACTCCATTAAAACTCTTTAAACTCCATTAGTACACAAATTTAAGGAGATATTTTTCCCAACTGTGAGATCAGATCTGTGTTTTTAAAAAGAGTTAGCACAGAATCTTATAGCTTCAAGAATTAAAGACATATTTCCACACAAACACACAAGGAAACATAAACCACTGGGATTTGCTATACTTGATGCTGTTAGTCAGGCACTTATTGGTGGATTACACACCAAGCGTTACTGTTGTTGTTGTTTTTCACAGTCATTTTGACACACAAACCAGCCACTGGGATTATACGTAGTTCATGACAGATGCTTTACATTGATATATAAAGTGTGATGCTTTCTGATCATTCTCTGTGCCTTCAACAACATACTGTAGGGGACAGAAGCCTGGAGATTTGCAGTTACAAAGACTTTATAGATTGCATCATTATTCAGTGTTTAATAACAGCATTTTTAGCCTTGTTTATGCTCCTGAACATGTCTAATATGAATGATACTAAATCTAACGTCACTCAGACTATATCACTGGTGGATCGAGATTTGAAATCATTTTTATCTGTGTCCTCAAGTGTTGTTTTCCTGTATGTCAATGGAGTGATGATCTTCACCTTGAGGAAAAAGACTGTTTTTCAGGAGACATCTCGCTACATTTTGTTTGGTCACATGCTTTGGGTGGATACGCTCAATCTTATAATGAGTGTAGTGTTGTTTGTGTGTGCTGTTTGTAGACTTTTTGTTATGAAATTTGCCTGCCTCATCCTTCTCGTTGCTGCAACAGCTCTCTATCAGGTCTCTACATTAAATCTGGCTTTGATGTCACTGGAGAGATATGTGGCCATCTGCATCCCTCTCAGACATGCAGAAATCACCACCTACAGAAGAACTAACATGGCCATTGGTGTTATTTGGATGTTAAGCTGGGTGCAATCCCTGTCTGAGATTATTATATTTTATTCCAATGATACAAACTTAGCAATGAATTTGTTCTGCTCAAGAACCACTCTCTTCAGACTGCAGATATATAAGAACCTTAATATAGCTTTTACATGTATATTTTTTGTCACAGTGACTTTTGTTATTAGCTTTACTTATGCCTCTATAGCTGTTGTGGCCAAAACAGCCTCATGTGATAAAATGTCAGCCAAAAAAGCCAACAAGACTGTTCTGTTGCATCTAATACAGCTGGGTCTCTGTGCTGCATCCATTTTAGTTGGAGTTATCCAAGAAGTCATTTATATTTATACTGACTATATAACTTCATTGAATGTGATGTATTTTTGCTTTGTAGTGTTTATGATTTTTCCACGATGTTTAAGCCCTCTAATATATGGCATGAGAGACCAGGCCTTTAGATATTTATTTCAATACTACTTCACATTTGGTCTCAAAAAGCAAAATAGATGTAATACAGAGATCCATTTAGCAGGAGGAGGCTGAAACGTCATGGTTAAAAACACATTGAAATATTACAAGGCTTTGCTAGATAATGTTATTTCATTATTAAGATACAAAAGGAAATTTATACAATGAGATTTTGGAGATGAACCTCACAGAACTAGCTGACCTTTGGCAAAACATGCAACCATTAATGCTGTGATCACCTGGAAATCATCTAAAATCTATATGGTTTAAATGTGAACAATTATCATACAGTTTTATACATGTTTGGTATCATTTGAAATGTCTCAGTGTGACTGGTACAAATGTCTAATTTCCAAAAAAGTAAAACAAAAGGTAATAAAGATAAATTGCACACAAAAGAGGGTGGGTCTTCCATGCATAATGGCCTCCTGTTCTCAAAGGTGTAAACTCAATGCAAATTCCCATTATTAGCAAATGTTTTTCCATGTAAATCAACTTCTGCCTCCAGTATGTTTGGGATGGTGATTAATGTAAATTCACACTGTGTTTACATTTGACAAAACTCGTGAACTACAAACTACATTTAAAAAGAGGTTTCTGCCTTGGTCTGTTGATATAAAGAAAATATAAATTTTCTAGAGGCTCAGGGTGATTTGTTCCTCAGATTAGCCCATAATCTTGTCTCAGGGCTTCTAAATGTCGGGTTTAACCTATCTTTTACTTTTACCATACATTTGATGTTATTGTATTGATTATCTTTGATCACCATGCCAATTTCTTTGAATAGATGTATTTACCTGACATAATAAATTGTAAACATTAGATTTTATTCTAATGGACATTATTTTCAATAAAGAGACAAAAATATTTCGAAACAGTCAAAAAAGTCAAACATTCGCTTACATTTAATGATGCACAGATATCATTAAGACATTTTCATTTATCGAGTCAGATGAAATAAGGAGCAAATACATATGAGAAAATATATTTCATTTAATCGAATTACTTTGCCACGCAGAAAGACAGTAACACGCAGAGACCTTTCCCACTGATCGGATGCCTCCATTGGATTGATTGACTGGGGTTTTGCTTTGAAAGCCTATTGACTTTGAGTATTCAAAACGAGCCAATGGCAAAGAAATGCGCCGCCTTCTAGCCAATGGCAAAGAAATGTGCCGCCTACTAGCCAATGGCAAAGAAATGCGCCGGCTTCTACAGCCCGTATTTCATTGTCCCGAAGAAAACCGGTGTGTTATGGTCAATCCCTTCACAGGCTGCCGTTCAAGATGCTCACCGCCAAACGCATTTTCGAATATGTGCGGCCCCAGGATTGGTTTGCAGCGATCGACCTGAAGTATGCAAACCTGGTCTCGAGAGTGTGGAAGTAGGTCACGCCTACTTCCATGTCTCTATTCTCCCTTGACACAGACCGTTCCTACGGTTTTCTTTCGAGGGGCAGGTATATCAGTACACAATTCTCCCATCCAGGCTAGCCCTGTCTCCTCGTGTCTTCAAGAAGGCCGTCGAGGCAGCCCTTGTTCCCCTACGGGAACACAGACTTCGTATCCTGAACTATCTCGACGACTGGCTGATCCTAACTCACTCTCGAGACCAGGTTTGCGTACACAGGCACTTAGTGCTCCGGCACTTAGCTCGTCTGGGTCTTCGGGTCAACTGGGAAAAGAGCAAACTTTGCCCCGTGCAGAGGATCTCTTTTTCGGTATGGACATTACAGCTTACTAGCAAGTGTGTGCAGTCACTGCTGACTTGCCTGAGACAGTTTGAGGGCAAGAGTGCGGTTCCACTGGGGCATATGGCATCTGCAGCCGTGGCAACGCCTCTCAGATTGCTTGCCTTCATATGAGACCGCTACAGCTTTAGCTTCGCGACCGAGTCCCGAAGTGGGCATAGCAACACGGCACCCTCCGAGTACCATTTACTCCGGCCTGCCGTCAGACCTTTACCCCGTGGCCGAACCTCAGTTTTCTACTGGCCGGAGTGTCCCAGGAACAAGCTTCCCGGCATGTTGTAATGACAGATGCCTCTACTATGGGCTGGGGTGCCATGTGCAATGGACGTGCTGGACAGGATCCCAGCACCTATGACACGTCAATTGCCTCGAGCTGATGGCTGTACATTTTGATCTGCACCGCTTCCGGGCTGTGCTCAAGAATCAACACGTACTAGTCCAATCAGACAATACCGCCACTGTAGCATACATCAACTGCCAACGTGGTCTACGCTCCTGCCGTATGTTGCAACTCGATCACCCGCCACCTCCTCATATGGAGTCAGAAGCATCTGAGTCATTAGGCATGCTAAAAGCTTACAAGCAGGTGTGTTGAGGCAAGCTGGAACTAAACTCTGCAAGACAGGGGTAGCCTGGCATGCCAGACCAGGATGTTAGGTCTGGGAACTAACCATTGACAGGGGATCAATACGAGAGGCGGGATAAACGCGCAATAGGATAGCACTACAACCAACCAGAGCAACGAAGAAGGTGACATAGTCAGAGCGATTAAAAATGACTCAAGTGCCGTTCTTTGTTTATGTTTCAAAGAAAAGCATAACTTTAAATCGACCAAAGCCGAATCAAAAGACATCGCCAGCAGCAGCAGCCATTCTTTGTTTTCAAGTAGCAGTGAACCGTCGCATCTCGGTCGTCATTATGTTAAGCCCGCCCACCGACCCTATACACGATGTGATTGGCCTGACTAGAGTTTGTTTTTTTCCAGCTCGAAAAAGTCAACGGAGTGTTGCTAGACTACACGGCTGCAAAATCATTTTTGTAGCCAGTAGGGAGTCTAGATTTCTAGGCTAGGACAGTGACCCTCCTGGACCGAGTTTGGACACCCCTCTTTTATTTTATATAGCCTATGTGGTAATATTTTAAAATATATACATTATTTTATATCTACATTCTCTTCACTGTATGTAGGCCTACATAAAATAAAATGACCCAAATCTCTTTTTGTTCAATGTCAGTTTAATAATCAATATTAGCCTATAATGTTTGATATTTATTCATTATTCTGCAATTGATATTACATTGTATTTGCTGTTCTTATTATTATTGTTATAATATTATACCACTTGCAATTATCAATCTATTATAGCAGCCCATTCTCACCCCCAAGGCGTCACTTAACTGACGCCTTGGGAAGCATTTGGACATGCTTCAATATCTGACGCTTTAGGCGCCCTTTAGCGTCAGTTAGATGACGCCCTAGGATCGCGTGTACCCTACCCCCACCCCACACCTAAACCTAACCGCGTCCTCTAACTGACGCTTTCCTTTAGCGTCAGTTAGATGACGCCGTAGGATCGCGTCATGTAAGTGACGCTAAAGGGCGGCTAAAACGTCAAATATTGAAGCATGGTCAAAGGTGACGCCTTGGGGTGAGAATGCGTTGATTATAGTTATGCTGTTAAATTATTGTACTATTCATAGTCGCTATTTAACTTATTATTTTTATTATCTTTATTCTGTAATTAATATTTCTTATTCTATTGCTATTATAGTATTATACATAAATTATATGCTATTATCAATATTTGTATGATTGTATTATTGTACTTATGACATATAATAATACCATTCATTACTATTTTATTTGCTGTGTTTATTTTATTGACAAAACTATTTACTATTAATTCTCACTTTATCTTATATTTACTATACACATTGAACTGTAGTTGTAACATATCATACTGTATGTATTACCATAAAGGATAGCCTACATCAGTTATCTTTGTTATTGCTTAAATCGGGTGAATCACAGAAAATGCTTTTTCCACAATAAGAAATCTCAGTATTTTGGTCTTCACAATTCTTATCCCTGTAAGGTTCGACTGGAAGCAAAAAAAAAAAAAAAAAAATATATATATATATATATATATATATATATATATATATATTATTATGATTATATGATTATATGAAGGCTGCTGTGGCCAAAACAGCTTCATATAATCATAATATCATATAACAAGATCAAAACATAAAAAAGCATGACATGATATACATCATGAGATTTTAAAGCCCAAAAAATGCACCCATCCATCATAAAAATAATTCATACTGTACATCTCCAGGGGTTTAATAAAGATATTATGAAGCGAAGCGATGTGTTTGTGTAAGAAAAATATCCACATTTAAAACTTTATTAGCTATAATAACTAGCTTCCAACAAACCTCAGGGAGGTTTTGCCAGATAAACAAAGTAAACACTCACAGACCTCCCCCCACATACACGAAAGAACCACTGGGATTCAACACGTACGTAACACAATAAATTTAACAATATTTAAAGTGCCACGCTCTGATCTTTCTCACTCTGTGCCATCAACAGCATACAAGCCTGGAGATTTGTACGCAATCCAAAGACATTGCAGATTGCATGTATAAGTCAGTGTTCTACACCAGCATCTGAGGTTAACATCTTCATGTTTTATTTTTTCTGAATATGTCTGCTTTTAATGGTTCTACGTCTAACCTCACTCAGAGTCAATTCCTGGTAGATCGAGATGCACCGGTGAAAACATTTTTGTGTGTGACCACATGTGTTATTTTCCTGTATGTCAATGGAGTCATGATCTTCACCTTGAGGAAAAAGACTGTTTTTCAGGAGACATCTCGCTACATTTTGTTTGGTCACATGCTTTGGGTCGATACGCTCAATCTTTTAATGAGTGTAGTGTTATTTGTGTGTGCTGTGAGCAGGATTTTTATTTTGAAAAATATCTGTATCATTCTTCTTGCGGCTGCACAATCCCTATATCAGGTTGCCGTACTAAATCTGGCTTTGATGTCACTGGAGAGATATGTGGCCATCTGCATCCCTCTCAGACATGGTGAAATTACCAGTTACAAAAGAACTAACATGGCCATTGGTGTTATTTGGATGATGGGTTTGATTCAGTGCTTGTCTGAGATTATTATCTTCTATTCCATTGATACAACAAACGCAGTGATGAATTTGTTCTGCTCAAGAACTACTCTTTTCAGACTGCAGGTATATAAGAAACTTGAAATAGCTTTTACATGTGTATTTTTTGTTGTTGTGACTTTTGTTATTATCTTTACTTATGCTTCTATAGCAGCTGTGGCCAAAACAGCCTCATGTGATAAAATGTCAGCCAAAAAAGCCAACAAGACTGTTCTGTTGCATCTAATACAGCTGGGTCTCTGTGCGGCATCCATTTTAGTTGGAGTTATCCAAGAAGTCATTTATATTTATACTGACTATATGACATCATTACATGTAATGTATTTTTGCTTTGTAGTGTTTATGATTTTCCCCAAATGTCTAAGTTCTCTTATATATGGCATGAGAGACCAGGCCTTTAGCTCTTTATTTAAATACTACTTCACATTTGGTCTCAAAAAGCAAAATAGATGTAATACAGCAATAGGAGGAGGGAAAATAGATACTAACTGATGGGGGGAAAAAGTAAATGTTACCTAAAAGGCTTAAGTTGATAATAGTCTTTCATTAATAAGATACAAAAATATATTCCTCTAAAAGTTTCAAATGTGAGTTTACATGATGATGAGATTTTTGAGATCAAC